ACTCTGGTAAAGAAGAATGAGCAGCCATACTTCTTACCATATCCTAAGAGTTCTGTTTCGTCTTTCAGCTACATCATTCATGCTAGGTGATCCCGGCATGGTGTACTGTGGGACGATATTACATTCCTCTAAGTATCTAGCAAATGGACCTGAACGTTGTTCACCTGAACCATCATATCTGTCGTAGTACTCACCACCATGATCAGATCTATCGGTTTTAATTCTTTTGTTGAGTTGATTATCAACTTCAGCTTTATAAGCTTTGAACATGTCCAGAGACTCGGATTTTTCATGAATGAGATATAGGTACCCATAACGTGAGTAATCGTCTATGAATGATATAAAGTATTGTTGATCATTCCAAGATGTCGTAGGGAATGGCCCACAAATATCTGTATGTATCAATTCTAAGGCAACTGAAGATCTTTTGGCACCTAATCTCTTAACTTTGGTCTATTTTCCCTTGATACATTCAACACATACGTCGAAGTCTGAAAAATCAAGAGAATCTAAAATGCCATCAGACACAAGATGCTCAACTCTATCTTTTGAGATCTGACCCAAGCGCTTATGCCATAATGTAGCCGAATTTTCCTTATTTAATTTACGCTTAGCACCACGTGATTCCACATGCAATGATTCATTATAAGAAGCAATTGTATCAAGCAAATATAAGTTGTCATAAGTACTCAAGTAATCGGTTCCCACAACATTTGAATTAAAAAATAAACTGAATTGACTATTTCCAAATGAACAATGATAACCTGATTTGTCCAATACAGAAACAGAAACCAAATTTCGTCTAAAAGAGGGTACTGCAAAAGTATCTTTTAAATCCAAATACGAACCAGTTCCTAATAGCAACCTAAAGTACCCGATTGCTTCCACGTCTATCGATTGTCCGTCGCCGACAAAGACGTGTCTTTTAACATCACTTGGTTTTCGGTAGTTCAGGCAACCCTGCATAGAAACACTTATGTGAGTAGTAGCACTAGAGTCTAACCACTAAGTGTTTCTAGGTACAGAAGCTAAATTAACCTCAGAACAAACCAAAGTAAGGAACATACCCTTCTTAGCACGCCAGGCGTGATATTTGGTACAGTCCTTCTTTACGTGTCAAAATTTGTTGTAGAAGAAACAACTCTGATCATCCTTATGTTGTTTCTTCTGAACAGGACCCTTAGCAGCTTTATTATCATTATTTCTTTTCTTGCCCTTATCATTAGAGGCATAAGCCAGATGAGCACTTTCTGTTTTATCTTGCTTCAACTTGTCTTCTTCTTATACACAGTATGAAATGAGCTCATTCAGAGTCCATTTCTCCTTTTGATAGTTATAACTGAACTTAAATTAATTGAATTGTACAAGAAGAGACAACAGAACCAGATGCACTAGTAACTCATCACAAGGATCGAGTTTAAGTGCCTTAAGTTTTAAAGCAATATGAGACATTTTCATAATGTACTCCCTGATATTTCCTTTGCCCTTATACTTCATCGAAATCAAGCAAGCTAAAAGCGTGCTTGTTTCTACCTTATCATTTTTCTCAAAACATTTCTCAATTTCGACAAGGAAATCTTTAGCCTTAGTAATCCCTTCGGATTCTATGCCCCTAAAGACTTTCGGAACGTCACGCTTAATGATCATAAGACTCATGCGATTTGAACACTCTCATTTCTCATACTCCTTCTTAACATCAGGAGTGCTATCCGTATTGAGAGGTTGAGGTTGTTCAGTTTTTAATGTAAGGTCTAGATTCATGCAGCCAAGAATAATTAATATGTTCTCTTTCCAAACCTTGAAATTAGTCTCATTGAGTATGAGAATTGAGCTGATGTTAGCAGAAATTATTACGGCAGATGCATTAGCTGAAATAAATAAAAGATACTCAGAGTATTAACTGTAATTAGTAATCAATAAAATTCAAATAATGACAAATCTCATCTCAAGATATCCAACACAAGATTAATATCAAGTCTTTGGACAGTAATATTAATTGTAGGTGATATCTTGTTACAATGATCAAACATTGACAATAACTCATGTCAAATAATAAAACTATCTTTGGATCGATTCATTATTCACATGTAAACCTTATAATTGTCATACATTTATCATCACAGATGTGTATGCAATCTAAATAAATATTAACCTTCCTTTGGGACGGTTAAATATTTACACGAAAACATACACATAAACATCTAACATCCCTTATGAGCAATCTACACAAGAGAGGTTACTTTGGCAACTTTTTGTTTCAATTAATCATGTAGAATGAGTGATAACTTTAATACCTTAGTGTCATATTATTTGAATTAAAATATTAATTAACTACCAAATTTAATTCAAATAAATAATTTAATTCAAATTAACTGAATTTCCAAAAAAACTTAATTAAGGGCCTCATAGCTTAATTAATTAAATTAAGCACACTAAAAATTGGGCCCATAACTTAATTAGGCCCACAAAATATGTTTTAATTGGTATATCCAATTAAACCATTCTTAAAGAATTTTAGGCCCATAACCGAATGGTTTTAAGTGGGCTTGGACTTATGCAAACCCAATAAAGAATTGATTTTAGTGAGTTTGAGGTCATGTGCCCTAACAAAACCAAGGAAACCCCAAATAAAATCCACCTTCGACTTCTTTTAACCGATGAAACACAATAGACGCAGCCCTCTCCTTTCACCCGACGGGAAAGAAGAGAACGCCAGAGAACGAATGCGAGGTTCGTTTGAGAACGAACGCAAGGTTCGTTTAAATTGAGCACGAGGCTCGCCTGAGAATGAACGCGGGGTTCGACTTGAGAACGAACGCAAGGTTCGACTTGAGAACAAACGTGGGGTTTGACTTGAGAACGAACACCGGGCTCGACTTGAGAACGAACGTGGGGTTCGACTTGAGAACGAATGCGAGATTCGTTTGGATCGAACCGAAGTTCACTGAAGCTTTCAAGCCCTGAAGCTCGCCTAAAATTGAGGTAACCTCCTCCTTAATTTCCGCACGTTTTCAAGCACGATCTCTTGCACGAACACCCCTTTAGGGTTTCGTTTTGAACCGTCACCGCCTCCGCTATCTCCAATTGACAGCGAGGCCGTCAGCAGAACATTGTCGGCAAAGAGTGTGGCGATCGACGATTGACTCCATAAATTGATCTCTTGCTTTCGATTTTGAATATAATTTAGATCCAAACAACCGAAAGAAAAATCAAGCCAAAAGATGAACTTTGCTTAATCCATCCGAACAGCAAATCAAAAAACGACAAAGTCGTTTAAAAAACCCAAGTTTTGGAAGCAACAGTTCATGTTTGCACAAGATCCAAACGTGCACAGATCTTACTAAAAATGAATTAAGATAAAAAAAACCCTAATCTTTATCTTAGATCCCTAAGATTAATCACGGTGGCTCTGATACTACTTGTTAGACTTATTCGTGATTAATTCATAGAGATTAAACAACTACAATGAGCGGAAGCAATACCTGAATCCATAACTATTTGAGCACGGATCTTAATTAAGGTTTGATCCTCTAATCTGAAAGGTGTCTTTTGAATATCTCTTTAGATGGAGATTAGAGAATAGAGAACGTAACCTTTAGATTAGGGACCATAACCCCTTTATATAGATTTATAATTTTCTAATTTAACCCCTCATAAAATTAGAATTGCAGTCCGGTATCTGTACAATTAGTCCATGACATATTTAAATACTCATTGACCCAATTACCTGATTGATCACTTTATGCAGGTCAACTGAAAAATAGCAACACACACTGATATAATATATGTTCCCACAAATAAATTTAATTATATTTAAATCCAACATATGTTACATGTACATCCTTGAAGCAACACTTTTTGAAGAGGCATTTTTTAATTGGTCTGATGCAACTCTGTATGAAGAGCTTCTTTTAATGATATCTAAAGATGCTTGTTATTGGGCCTCTTATAAAATTCCTCCTTCCTGGAGAAGAAAATATTGGAGTTGCCAGTTTCTGTGCACAAAGTTGAAGTGCTTAACCCAAGACATTATCCAGCAATGTAGATATAACAGTACTATAACCCAAATAAATCAAAGCAGACATGAGGAGATTAAAAGTATTAGAAACCTGAGTGGGAATGGTGTGGCCACCTTATTCGGCAATTTATTATCTGATAACAGACCAAATGGTCGAGATTCCCAACCACGACAAATTTGGTCACAAACCTCCCCTGTTCCTTGACCTCGCTCCTAATTAGGTTACTAATTAATCGAGGTTAGCAACCCCGACTAATTAGGATAACAATTTTTTAAAACGATGCAGTTTTTGAATCTGACATAACCAGAAACTGGGTCGATTCTTGTAATAAAGTTAGGCTAGGATCAAATTTTGGGATTAAATTTGTGAATGGGTTTATTTTAAAAAATTCTTCCTTTCTGCCCCTCGGTGTTTTGAATTGGGTAAATTTTAAACGCTACCTCCACTTTCCATTGCTTGTTCTTCCATACAATCATCTCATTTTTTCCACAAAGTACACGCCAAGGCTACATAATAGATTTTTTTCACAAAATACACCTCATTTTTTTCCACAAAGTACGCCAAGAGTACATAATCCATTTTTTTCACAAACTACACTCCGACCCTGCATAATCGAATCTCCATCAACAGACTACATGCATTGACGACCTGCCTTAGTATTAACCCTAGCAGCAGTCACGTCTTCAGGCAAAGCATTCTTCTATTTATCGAGACCTCGTCAAACAAACCCCGAGAAACAAAAGATATGATTAGTCATACAGATGCATGCATGGACTCGAATCAGTTTGCCCTGATAGAGACGGAAATTAACATCAATTTTAGATTTTCGTTGAATATTGAACCCTGGCATCTTATCAACATAGCAAAACAAGCATATAACTCAACCCGAACATCATTTACAAGCAACAAAATGTACCATATCTGCAGAAGAAAGGGCCACAAAAGAGTCATCAGACACTTTTTACAGCCTGTGCACTAATATATTACTAAGCAGATCCATATCATAACATAGCAAGTGTGAAGTTTTCAAGATCTGAAACTAACACAGAACTCTACTCAAAAAATAATATTCAGTAGGAGGCAAATATTTTTTTTGCATTATCCCCAATGACATAATTAACTACTCATTCAACGTTTTTTAAAAAGAAAAGGCACGGTCACCTCTTCAAACTACAGAAGTATAAATTATAAAAGAAATATCTTCTTAGTGAACCATGGAAAGAAGATCTACATATGCTTTAACACCTCAAGGATCCGCTATTGTAACTTCAACCTCAACACCAGGTTCAATGGTGATGGAAGTGATCTGCTTCACTACCTCTGAAGAACTCACTAGATCGATCACCCTCTTGTGCACACGAAGCTCAAATCGATCCCAGGTGTTTGTACCTGAAAACAAGTAGCTCAAAGGTAAGATAGAGTTATGACTTTCCCAAATGCATGTGCAAAGAAACTGCAGGTAGAAGATGAATTATACTATGATAAAAATCAAAATGAAGGTAAGTTGAGGGGTAACTACTGGGTTTCAAGATAATTTAGAAGCGATGTTTAAAACGCATGTGTAGGTCCTTATGTTTCAACTGTATCTTGTGATGACAGACCTATAATCATTTTAGACCTAGAAGCCTGAGCTACTATGGTCTACATTGAGCAACAGAAGCTCAAGTGAGTATTACCAGTCTGGTCACAGCTTGTGCATTGTACCAAATCCAATCAGCCATACATAAGAAGCAGCCTGCCTATACATGCATTATTTCCACTCTGCGAGCTAGCCAAGTTCTACATACAAACTAGTCCAGGTTAAAATGGACTGGTCTCTCCAACATGCTAAGAATCAGGTTATTAGTATTATCACTACAAATGATATGTATTTAGCTATTATAAACTGGTAAGTCCAATCTGAACTTGTCACGGTTCAACTTGTCAAATGAAACCTACAGACACAATATGGTTGAGAATAAGTTGTAATCATCGAATTTCTCAATAGCTTGAGATTGATTATTCAATGTCATGGCAGAGTGAATGTTTTCACATCAAGCTAGATCGTCTATACCACTGCACAAAAGAAAATTCTAGCATCATCTCTACATTCATTTAAACAAACCAACACCAGTTTTCTTAGCCAATCACCTTACTACAATAAACCCAAGTTTATAGAAGTGTCATGATTACCTCTAGTTCATATAAGTATATTGGTTGTATAAGAGCATCTCCAACAACTTCTCCATATTCTTGAAATACTCAATTTTGGGGAATATAGAGTTTTTTTTTTGTCCAACAGATTCCTCATCCCATTCCCCAAAATAGGGAAGGAAGAGAAAAAAATAGGGAGCCTTCACCAAATCTGCAGCATTCTCCAAATTTTTGGGGAGAGCTTTATTATTGTAATAAATACGATTTTTCAAAATGGGGAAGCTGTTGGAGTTGGAGCAAAAATAATTTAGAGAATATGGCTTTTGTTTCTCCATTTTGGAGAAAATTTTGGGGAAGCTGTTGGAAATGCTCTAATGATCAAGGGAAGCATCAAATGACTGATGGATCAACGAAAAAACTCTTTACCTATTTAGTTTATCAAATTACCAGATTTTTAAAGCAAGCAAGAATCTGAGTACAGGTACATCTTTTTTCCATTAGTCATATGATTTCTGCAGATCCACAACAGCAAAATGAAATTTTATAATAAAAAAGTTTCTTTAAGAATGACATATGACTGAACATCAGTTTTAAAAAGCTCGATTTTGAAACTTCATAGACGAGTCTCGGCATCTCAATTATCATTTCATCATCTGATCAGTCAACTTCAGCACCAATGCTGAATAGAGAAAAAAATTTATCAATCTTGATTGATAGATTGATTAGCTGCAGCTAGAAACCATAGCTCTTATAAACAAGAACCATAAATTTTAAAAAAAAAAAGCCGTAGGAGTTGAGAAGTAAAATAGCAAAAAAGCAGAGAAGAGAGTAGAAAAGAACATCATCTATCAAATGGTTGAAGGCGAAATAGCACAAATCATGAAGAGATGGTGAACCAGCATTGAGCATCCCTACTCACTGTTGATATAACTCTTAACAAACAACAAACCACTTCAAATGTACAAGTGATGAAAGAAAGAAAAAAAGCATAAAATACTAAGATGTCTAACAATATATATTTAGTTATATTCCCAACGGGTAGAATACTATGTAGCCTTAAAGAAGAACATGCAATAAGAGAAGAATAAAATCCAGCTCTATCTCTCACTTAAAATTTTTGAAAATAAATTCTCTGCTTTCCCATATTTCTTACAGTTACAGTTTCATCAGAACTCCTATGGCCTTTTAAGTTCATAGAGACAATACTTTTAAGAATAGCATGTAACCGACCATCAGTTTTAAAAAGCTCGATCTGTAAGACTTCATAGACAAGTCTCAGAATCAATCATAATTGTATCATCATTTGATCAGTCAACACCACCCACCAGTTCTGGCAGCCAATACTATTTGTAAAGACTAAACTATTAATTTTCAAAAAGTATATTGAACAGAGAAGAGAATAGAACAATCAATCAAAAAAAACATCTGATCATAATCTAAAGGGCAATACCAGCAGGATTGCTGGAAGTCGGTACCTTTTATCAAATTACAAACCAGTACTGATTTCAAAATAACTGACAATGACTGATACGAAAGAAGATAGTCATCTACTCTAATGTATCATCATCATTATCTAATACGTCGTACCATTACTGGCATATGATAGCTCTTAATGGATGAAGAAAAGAACAAAAATTATCTACAGAGAGAGGAAAAAAGAAAATAATTATCTACAGAGAGAGGCAGAGGAAGATACCAAAATATTCAAAACCAATAAGAGGGTTAAAATAAACAGATGTTAGACGAAAATTAAAATAAAATTCTGATGACTCATTAGAAAAAAAACTTAAAAGAAGGGAAAGCATTAGAAACTACCCTAAAACACATGTTAATCTTGTGTGATCAGTCTGGGCAAGATGTTCCTTAGCAACGATTCCTTCTCTACTAATTCCATGGTGATCGAGACCACATAGAGGCTCTCGATTAAATGTGCGCAATAGCGTATAATAAATTTGAGGGAGAAGGTAAATCACTAAATCGAAGATAAAGAAACTACAGAGTTTATTTTGTATGTTAACTCATTTTAGGATTCCTTTTTATTAGCAAAAGTATCCATTTGAAATAAAAGAGAAACTTTAGCCTCAAAGGAACTCCCACCTTCATATGAAAAAGGAATAAGAATATCCTTAAAAAAAATTAATTTGATATTTTGCTTGTCAATCATCAATGATAGTTGGTAACAAAGCAAATATCAACTTTCATATTAGTTAGGATACTATTTCTCGAGAAAGGGATTATTACTTAAGCAAAAGTCTCTCTGTTATGTTATTTCAAACGGGCAATTTTCTTTAATAAAATTGAGCTCTGAAGGACACTTACTCAAGAAGTCTCCTTCATTCCATGGTCGCGCAGGAAGGGATCATCAACTAAAGGCACTCATCAAACAGACCACCTTCCTTAATCATGCCTACCCATTAATGAACCTAACAATATATTACTTAAAGTACACATCAAACAGACCACCATCCTTAATCATGCATAACCAATACTGAATCTAACAATACATTACTCAAGGTCCTCTTTCTTTAAGACACTCATTTATAAGGGCGACGCTAATTATATACCATGTGACACATCCATCACGACCATCCCCCTTTAATGTTAAAATTCAGAGTGCTCCGATAAAATCGGTACACAACCAAACATCGAGAAAAGCTTAAAAATTAAATTCAGCTCATAAAAAGGAAAATGCCAACCATAATCAACTAAAGGATTACAAAACGTTCAGCGAAAAGCCAAAATGTGAAGATAAGATTACAGAAAGTCCCCCTCATGCTTTGCTTGATTGACACATTTTCATTTGCGGGTCAAATAATCATTGGTTCTTTTTAATAACATCCATTCTGACTAACTGAATTAAATATAGAAAACTTATATTTGTTTCTCCGGGAGTGCAGGTGATTGTTATATCTACAATGCTATCTTTTACATCCCAGTAAATTCAGTAGCAATTAAAAAAGAGAGGACCGAAGTGTCACTTTTAATACCTCAAAATGACAATTATGCAAATCTCACAGCGATTTTTTGAAATTTACCCAGATTTGAATGAAAAGCTCTATAAAAAAAATTACCTTCTCCACAAGGAGATTTCCGTGTCGTGATGAGAAGAACCTTGGTAGGCATCCTCACCGGCCCCTTCACTACCAGTCTCTTATCCTTCGCTCCTTTCACAAGATCAGCACAAACTAAAAGCACAAAAACAGCAACAACAAACTAAAATTAAAAAAAATAAAAACTCAACAAAAATCAAATCAAAGACGACTAAACACTAACCCTTCTCGAGATTCTTGACGTTCTTCGAGGAGAGAGTGATCCTGATGCGGTGGAGCTGCTCCTGGGCTTCTTCTAGCCCTTGCTTCGCTGGCTTCATCGCGTACGCCATTTTTTCACCCTGAATTGAGATTGAAGGAGATTAGAATGTGAAACCCTAGAATTCTAGAAACCCTAATTTAAGAACATGGTCACCTGCCTTAAGAACAGCGGCGCTGCTGCTTCGTTTGTATCTATTTCACGGGTTTTCGAGGGTTAGGGTTATTTTCGCGACTCATTATATATATGGGGACGAAACAGGTCGGGTTTGGCTGCTGCCTTATGCGGAGTTAAAGTTTACGGGCTAACTTCACAAAAGCCCCTGGAGTTTGGAGGTTGTGTTTGTGCACATTACCTCTAGAACTTTATTGTCTCACTTACATAATCCCCTGAACTTTAGAGGCCACGTGATGATATTGTGGGGTGAGCAAACAGTCAGTTCAGTCGGCTTTGACGATTATGTATCAAATCAAAAACTTGTTGCGAAAATTTTTAGTTTCTTGGCTTATTGTTGCCATTGTTTGGACTCTGAGAAGCAAAGAGGAAGAAGAACTGATATTTCTGAGGGGCTCCGGTAATGGGTAAGTGGTTTTTCTTTTGTTTTCGTTGTTCTTTCTCAAGGAGAATGGTCCTCCTTATATAGGAGCTAAACTCATCATCTCTACCCCTCAGATCCGCCCCCATGAGAGATTTTCTCTCAACCACACATGATTCACGTTCTCCACCATTCTCTCAACAGAGAAACAGTGGTTGATTTGGTCATCAATGACCAAGTCAAGCTAACATCTCCCACTTGACCAAATTAACCAAGTGGCATGCCTCCCACTATCCGTGAGATCGGATGTTTCTGCTTACCATTACTCCCACTATCCGTAGAGAGTAACTCTTATTTCATTATTTATGAAATTTTACTTGGACTTATTTATTCCTAAGTCCCATCAAACTTATATGTTTGATAAAAGATTCTGCTGGTATTCCTTTAGTCAAAGGATCAGCAATCATATCTGTAGTAGGGATATAAGTCACTTTGACTTCTCCATTTTCTACAATATCTCGAATATAGTGATACTGGATCTCAATATGTTTTCCTTTGGAGCTATTCACATCACTATTGATTAAGCTAATTGTTGCTTGATTATCACAATAAATATCAATAGGTCCTAACAAATTAAGATCAAGATCAAGATCAATCAAAAACCGTCTTATCCAGACAGCATGTGTAGTTGTCATACTGCAATCTATATATTCAGCTTCTTGCGTATATCTAGCAACATACCCTTGTTTCTTGCTACTCCAAGAAACAGCTCCTCCTCCAAAGATAAATAAGTGTCCTGAAGTGGACTTTTCATCATCTTTATCACCTTCGAAATCAGCATCGGAATAACTGAGGAGTTCAAGCGAATCAGCTTGATAAACTAATCTATGAGTCAATGTACCTCTGATATACTTCATAATCCTTTTAATAGCTTCCCAATGTGCTGGTCCTGGATTACTTTGATATCTACTGACCAGACTCACAGCATAAGCTATATCAGGTCTGGTGCACAACATTGCATACATCAAGCTTCCAATTGCTTGAGCATAAGGAATATCTAATGGCTTCTGCCCCTCTCCAGGACTTTGCTCTTTACATAATCTCTTTCCCATAACCAACGGAGTTGGTGCCGGATTGGAATTCTCCATTCCAAACCTTTTAAGAACTGATCTTAAATATTTTTCTTAGTTTAAACTTAGCATTCTAGACTTTTTATCTCGAATTATTTGAATTCCAAGAATATATGATGTATCTCCCATGTCTTTCATCTCAAACTTTTCGCTGAGATCTGTCTTGGTTTTATTCAACATTTCTATATCATTTCCAGAGAGCAACATATCATCCACATAAAAGGATAATATAGTAAACTTGCTCCCATTTTTCAAGACATATACACAATTATCTAATTTATTTTGAATAAAACCAAGTTTAGTAACTGCATCATGAAATTTGAGATACCATTGTCTAGAAGACTGTTTTAAACCATATAGAGATTTTATTAATTTGTAAACTTTATGTTCCTGTTCTTTCACCTGAAAACCTTCAGGTTGTTGCATATATATTGCTTCCTTCAACTCTCCGTTAAGGAATGCAGTTTTAACATCCATTTGGAATAACTCCAAATCAAGATATGCAACAATAGCCAAAATAATTTTAATGGATGCAAATTTAGCTACAGAAGAATACGTCTCCTGAAAATCTATTCCTGCCTTCTGGTTGTAACCTTTGGCAACTAACCGTGCTTTGAATTTATCAATAGATCCATCAACACGATATTTCTTTTTGAGTACCCATTTGCATCCTATGGCTTTTCTATTTTCTGGTAGATCACATAACTCCCATACCTTATTCTTTTCTATGGAATCAAGTTCTTCTCTCATAGATTCTAGCCATGAAGCTGATTCATGTGATTTCATCGCATCAGAAAAGGTTAAGGGATCTTGTTCTTCTATATTTGTATCCACCGAAAAACAGGATGGCTCACATGAATATAAATAGTAATCATCCATCCATGAAGGTTGTGTTCTTGGCCTTTTGTTGCCTACAACCGGTTGATTAGGTACATTATTTTCCATATGTATTTTATCATTTTCAAGGTTAGGTTCATTCACAATATCAGAGTCATTAGTGGAAACAACACTGTAATAATCATCATCTATTACAGTTAGAGGTTCTGTTTCCTCTTGAACTTGTTCCCCTTCCTCTATATTCTCTAGAAATGTAGTATCTCTGCTTTCAATGACTCCTTTTTCTTTATTATAGAACTTATAACCTTTTGACTTATTTGAATACCCTATGAATCTATACTTTATTATTTTAAAATCCAACTTATCTCTAAGTTGACATGGAATGAGAACATGGGCTATAGATCCCCACTTCCTGAGATGACTCAAATTAGGTTTCCTCCCATTCCATAATTCATAAGGTGTAGATACAACTGATTTGGTGGGAATTCTATTTAAAATGTAGTTTGCAGTTAACAATGCTTCTTCCCAAAAGTTTTTAGAGAGACCAGAATGAGACAACATGCACCTAACTACATTTAATAATGTTTTGTTTTTTCTTTCAACAACACCATTCTGTTGTGGCGTATATGGCATTGTTGTATGCCTTTTAATTCCATGCTGAATACAATAACTTTCAAATTCTTTAGAATTATATTCTTCACCTCTATCAGTTCTCAGAATTTTGATTTTCAATCCAAGTTGGTTTTTAACTTCTGTCTTATATCTCTTAAAGCAGTCAAAAGCTTCTAATTTTCTGGATATAAGATAGACGTGTGCAAACTTGGAATAATCATCTATAAAAGTAATAAAATATTCTTTATTACTATGAGTTTTGACACTTAGGAGACCACAAATATCCGAGTGTATCAACCCTAAAAGTTCATTGGCTCCGCCAATAAAAGATTTTCTAGTCATTTTACCAGTTAAACAATGTTCACATTGTGGCAATTGAACATTAGATAGTGTAGGAAGCAAGTTCATTCTGATAATTTCTTTTATTTTTGAAATACTAGCATGTCCTAGTCTAGAATACCACAATTCAGATTCAGAAATATAACAAGACAAGTAGTTCAAATTTGAAATTTTATTATCAAAATTATTACAAACTACTGGAAGAATGCATAATTCATGCTCGGGCACATATTTACCCATAGCATACACTTTATTATTCTTGCCTATAGAAACCCTGTTATTATAGAACCTCACTTCCAGGCCTTTCTTCATCAAGCTGGGAACAGAGATTAGATTGCGTCTAATTCCTGGCGCATAGAACACATCTTTGAGGACAAGAATGCTGTCCCCCAAGATCCAATCTATACGAACCAATACCTTCTACATTGAGATAGGTATTATTTCCCATATAGATTCTCTGTTCTCCTTTCTTCAGCTCGGTGAATTCTACGACTCCATCTTGTCCTTTGCGATATGCCTAGTCGCACCGGAGTCGATCCACCAACCACTGATATCCGTCATCACAGCATTACATTCCGTCACACCGACGAATTCTCTTTTGCTAGTGCCCCATTGTTCTGGATGCTTATAGCCTCCCTTATTCTCCTGTTTTTCACCTTGTGGGCAATTGGGTTTGAAATGCCCGAACTTTCCACAATTGTAGCAGGCTCCACGAGGTACTTTCTTTCTCTTGAACTACTGCGATTTTCGGTCCTCGTGGTTGTGGTTTACTAGAACCGGGTTTTTTATAGCTTTTAGCATTATGCCTCTGGCGGACATAATTCAGCTCCTGCTGCACCATATTCAGTTCTGGTTCCTTCCTACTGGCTATTAAGTCATGTTCTATCGCTAGGTGCATAGAAAGATCAGTGACAGACTTAATGGCAGGGGTCATTTTTTATGACTATTCAAAATGGTTGCTACTTGCATTCTTTCCTGGATTTCGGTCCCAGCAGTGGATAAGTCCTTAGCCATGACAATCATTTTATTTATATGTTCTACGACATTGTCTCCCTCTTGCATACGACAAGAATTATACTTATGCAAGAGGAGTTGAATGTTAACTTCAGAAGCAGTGTCGTATTTTTCTTTTATTGCATTCCACATGTCCATGGAAGTTTTATAAGTTTCAAAAACTTTGATTAAATTATCTTACATGAACATGAGCATAAGGCTTTTCGCCATTTTGTCTTTCGACTTTCCACTGCTCAAACCCTTTCTTTTCTTCAGGTGTTGATTTATCAGTAAGGGTTGGAGCAGCGGTTTCGATTACATCATCAATGTTGTCATGAATAAGAGCATATCCTATTTTTCTATGCCACATATCATAATTACTATCAATAAATTTGTTAATTTTTCCTAGTTCTGATAGAACGAGTTTACTAGCCATTTGGTAAAGAACTAAAACTAAATTCAATTTTAAATATGTAGAAGGTTGATATTTTGACAATTATACTAAAAAATAATAAAGTTAGATAAATAAAAAATTAAAATGAACCTGATTTTTGTGAGTTGAGAAACGAAGCTCCAATTTGAGCGAGATTGTCACTCAGCGGTGTAGATTGGATCAGCACTTCTCGAAGTTTTGTCGTCGTTTCTGACTGGATTGGAGATGATCAAGTTGGAACAGCCGGGCCAACAAACAAGCACAGATTCAAGGCCCAACAAGAAGGCCCAATTTATGTTACTGCAGATGTATGCTTTGAGCTCACGTGCTTTGATGGGAGAGAGCCTTGAAGATGTGTTAAT